GGCTTCGGCTTCGGCTTCGGCCATAGCCTACCTTGTTGTTTTCCTGAGCTCCAACACTCGCTTGTGTGCGATGTTGTTTTTCTGTATGGCCTGCAAAAAGAATAATGACTTTTTCTTTAGCCGAGCTAAAAGTTCGAAAAATTAGAAAGATAGAGTGCTACCTACTAGGATCATGGATTTCGTTGAAGACCGGATAACCTTCAGCTCGGTGTTCAGCTGATTATGGTGCTCCATATCTTTTGGAAGACACACACTCTTGGCCAGGTTGAAAGCCAATAAGTGGTCCTTCTCTGCGACCACTGAGTCACAGTCTTGGATATCTCAGTTTTGGAAGGTGAGCTTGGGTGCCCACCTGGAGGTAGCATGGTCAGAAGGCTCCGGTTGTGGACTCGGTGGGTGGCTCGGTGGAAGGACGGTTTCGTCTTCATCTACTAGACGTTGCTCGGTTGGGGTAGTCCGGGCGCGCTTGGACGGGCGTGATGAAGAATGCTGTTGAGAAGGAAGGGCCACGACGGTCTCTTGTGTTTGGCTTGGTGGCGGTACTTCGGGTCTGTTGGTTTCGGTCAAAAGGGCCCTGACTCTATTTCTCTTGGCCATCTCTTGTTCGGCTGTAAGAGGGACTAGGTTAATTTGGGGCAAAGTTGGGTCCGGTTCGGGGGCATCCTCTAATAAAAAATCGGTCACTCTGGCTTTTCGGCGACCGCTGTATCTGTATGTCGGCTCAAAATTTAGCAGCTTAGCCCAACTCCATTTTGGATACCGTAGTGCGGTGTGGAGAGTGTTTAGATTGGGGTAGCTGTAAAGTGATTGGAGATGAGCTGAATCTGCATAAATGAAAGCAACATTTAGTTCGGTTCAGAATGGAAGCCGAAATAAAAGAAAAGCATGAAAGGAAACCGAAGTAATTATACCAGGGATGCCTTTTTTCCAACTTATACTTCGGCCTGGGATTTAGGCTTGATGGTCTTCAAAGTTCCCAGACACCCAGAAAAAATCATCGTCATTCAAATCTTTGTCCGGTGTATCTTTTATTATTTTTTCTCGGCGGCGGCGTATTCTGAAGTAATAGACCCAGCCATTATCTTTTGAGCCTATGGAGTACTGGTGGAGTATCTCAGCTAGGCCAAGGTTAATGCCAGCTCGGCGGTTTAGTTCGGCTATACCGTTTATTATGCGGTATGAGTTGGTGGAAAGTTGGGTAGGACAGATCCTAGTTTGCCTAAGAAATTCGCAAAGCAAAGGTTGAATCGGGAATCTTAGACCGGTCTCTACTATTGAAAGGAGGGTGAAGGGAACAAAACCGGGGTTTCCCCAAGGAACGATATCTTGTGCGGCTAAAACGAGTTGGACGTCGTCCGATATATGGTAATCTTTTCGGAATTCGGCTAGACCACCCGGTGTGTTTACTAAGAATCTATACTTCCCCATTTATTTTTTAAGTTATGAATAAATTAGTTCGGTCAAAAATTTGTGCTCAGTAGCTCGGTTGAGCGCTCAGAGGATTGCCTGGGCAACCTAAGTCTGCAAAGTGGAAAACAAAGGTGTTAAGCACAGATCGTTAGACCGTGCTACAAAGTATAAAGCAAGATAAGAAGTCCTACTTCGGTTTTGTGGGATGCTACAGGTTCTATCTCGGTTTCAACAAGGTGCTTGGTAGCTTGGTCTTGGCGAGTGATTCGTTATCCCGATTAATGAGAAGGTTCTGTTAGATCGGTTGAGCTTCTAGGGGCAACTTTCTGAGTTCGGTCTAAAAACTAAGAAAGCTGGTTTAGCCCTAAAGACCTAGCTCGGTCAAAATTAAGGTTTCCCAGTACACTAAGTTCAAACTTAGTTCGGTTCGTTTATCTCGGCTAAGGTAAATCAAAAGGTGGTGTCTTATTAAAACTACTGGTGTAAGCATGAAGTGTTAGTTCGGTTACAAGCTGGCTAGACTTATACCTAGCATAAACTGTATCCTAGTTCGGTTGCATCATGTTTTTGGATCAAACAGTGTTCTACAGACTACTTCCTGAAGTTTATGGAGTTTTTTCTCAGAAAAAGCGAAAACAGTGTTTTGTAAAACACAAAATAGTATGCTATGGATCAAATGAGTGCAAAAAACAAGAGCAAGAAAGATGGATTTGCTTACCAGATTGAAGCAGAAGAACTGGAGATGGAAGCAGCGACGGTGAAGAAGCAAGAACTTAGCAAAATCAGGAATGAGGATGCCCAGGAACGAGAGAGAGAGAGAAGAGGATGAGTATAGTGGTTGTAGATCCAAAAAATGAAGAGTTTGTTTTGTAAAAAGGACGAAAATGGAAGGGCAGGAACTGTTCAAATTTTGCAAAGTACGAGGGCGGCGTGACAGTTGCAAAGGGCCAATCAGAGCCTGCCACGTGTCAATAGAATGAGAAGCGATTCAGTTTCTGCGACTGAAGAGACGTTTTGACCGGATAAAGGTAGCTCGGCCTAAATATGGCTCGGCTGGAAAGGCTTTGGAGTTTTAGCTCGGCTGGAAAGGCTAAAGGGTTTTTTAGCTCGGCTGGAAAGGTTAAAACTTTAGCCCGGTTTGTAGACAGGTAATCCCTATCATGCTGCGCAGATGGAATTAAGGGGCAATTGAGAGGGTAATTTATATGCAAATTGGGCCGAACTGGGCCGTTATGGGCCTCAGTGCGAAGGGCTGAGTAAAAAGGCCATAAAGTCACTCCGGTCTTGAAGAGGCTTAAAGTTAGTCCGGTCCGAGTGAGGCGTAATGTTAGACCGGTCGAGGGATGCTTTGTAGTTAGACCGGTTTAAAGATGTTTAGAACTTATACCGGTTACGGTGCAGTGTAGTTAGCTCGGTTTTAAGTTTACCACGGTTTATACAGGAGAAACAGAGGTAAGGGCGTTGAAGGAAGAACCGAACTAACGATAATTCAGTCTACTCTATAGCTCGGCGTGGCCATGCTTACTTCGGTCATATTAGAGACCGGCCATGGTAAAACCATCTCACTTGGTTTAAGCAGTGAGGGGGGTGTTGAAGGATAAACATTATCTTTCAGGAGTATGAATCCTAGGAGGACTCTACATGGAGGAGTAAGAGTCCTACTTGGATTATGCCACACGAAACCTATAAAAGCTCACAAACATCACCTATGGAGAGGTAACGCAACTTTGATTCCCGAATATACAGAGCTTTTGTTTATTTGCCTAGTTTACTGACTTAGGCATCGGAGAGGTTTCCGGCACACACCCGCCGGCTAGCTCACGTTTGTATTTTCAGGTAGTAGAACGACGCCATATGGAGGAGCACAAACTTGATCAACAGAATTATACGAGAAGGTTTATTTCTTTCCCGTACACAAACTCTACTAATGCAAGAAAGCATGTAGAACTAAAAGTTGAGCAACATGACTTGTATCTTGAGTTGAGTTGTTATGTATGGAGCAACGCTAAAAATGAAATATGTGGCCTCAATTTTGATTTTAGGTGGGTTTATACTACACTAATTAAATTTAAATTTACTCCATAAATTTTATCTTTCTGAACAATTGTTTGGATATATTTTTTGGGTGGAAAGATTTTTCAATATACATATATCTTAATTCTATTAATGCATAAAAGCATGTAAAATTAAGAGTTGAGAACCAAGAACAATCACGAACATACTCAAAAAGTCTTTAAGAAATATCATTAACCACTAAAAACTAATAACATTAAAATTTTAAAAAGCTATTTATAACAAAAAGAGGAATCTTGTTACAATTAGGAAATAATCTACTAAGCACCACTACAAAAAATTAAGGTATTAGAAACCAAAATTTAGGAAGAAAATTATTTTTTAGGAACTAAATATTTTTGTTGCGAAAAGTGTCGTTATTATATTTTTAGTAACAAAAAATGGATATTAGTGATGAATTATTATCTTTTTGTGACTAAATTTTTTGTCTAAAAAAATAAACCATTTTGAAACCAAATTATTTTGTCCCTAAAAGTGTGTTTATTAGTGACATTTTTAAAATTTTGTCGCTAAAAGTCTTATTTTTTACTTTTCGGGACAACTTTTTGGCGATATTCTCACGACGATAGAAGTTGATTCATAAATATTTTTTGTAACAAAATTTTCACTTTTACAGACTAAACAATTTGGTCTCTAAAACTCTTATATGTTGTAGTGCACTTTCCTTTCTTGGCATGAAATAAATAAGGAAAATCGAAAAAAAAAATCAAAAATAGACAATTTAAGTTAAGCTTAAATTTGAATACAAGAAACTTCGAGCATTCCCATTAGCCTCAGCAAATTTTTAGCCAAATTATAACTCAAAATCTACTTTTGTATTTTAGCTAACCTTTTTTTTTATATACACACTCCATCAAACTCTCTATTCTAAAATTTTATTCTTTTATATTTATCAATTTAAATATATTTTTTCTAGTGCACTATAGTAGCAATAGAGACCAGTAGCCGAAGAAGGCAAACCACTGAGGGGTGATCGACCGGTCAAGCCAAAATTCAGCGAAACTTTCTTCTTTGCAAGGACATCCGGGTGAACGTCCGGTGGGTGAGAAAATATAATAAAAAATATATTAACTTGTCTCAAAAAAATAATAAAATATTGAATAATTAATGAATAGAATCTCAACATACTGTAGCAAATTCAACCAAAAGGTAATTCAGAAATAATTTGTTGAGACTGATGGAGCAAGCAGATTGTGATTTGCTAGCTATATTTTACTTTTTTCCTATTTTGGTGAGGCTAATGTGGATACTCTTAAAAGTAGTAAATTTGTCTAATCAGAGACCTAAACAAAAGAATCAACATTAGTCACTGCAATGTGGTGAGTTTTATTAGTTGAGCTGTTTTTAACGAACATAAAACTTTTTTAAGCCAATCTATCAATGTCAGCCTAACACTTATTAACCACACGTTTTGTTGTTCTTCAATCCAAAAACTTCAAAGTCACTTGATCCACTCCTCTCCTCTATAAATTGGCAGCTAGATGCACTCAAAGTCCCTACAAGTCAGTTTGCAACACTCCAATACTAATATTTTTGCAATCTCTCTCATCACTAACAACAACTATAGATATGGCTCTCAAATCCCTTCTCTTAGTTTTCTTGTTGATTGCTGCCTTGACAGCTGTCCCAATGGCTGAAGCCCAACTGGGACTGATAAGTGGTCTCTTGGGTTTGATTAGAATCCAAGGCACTGTCTTCTGCACTGCTAATGGCAACATGGGTGTCAATGGCACTTCAGCCCCTGTCTTCCCAAGTAATAATAAACCAAACACCCACCACAAATTTCCTAAATTGTTATTATGATACTTTGTACAAACATAATTTTGTATAGAATTGTCATATAGAATTATGTGATTTTTTGTGATATTTTTATTTTAAAATCAAAACATGCACGGTCACTGTCACAACGATCTAAATATATAGATTTTGTGTGTAAAAATTATGTGTGAATCATTATTCTAACTATGCCTATAGTTTTTTGTGTCAAATATATTCACAATTATACATAGGAAAATGTTAATCATACAAAATTTTTATATAATAAAGCCATATAGAATGTTAATCATATTTTTATAATATTAATCATAGTAATGGGATTTTTTTTTTATTATGAATATGAATGAGTTTATAATTTTATATGAAATTTTTGTATTCAAATTCTATTTGTATAGCGTTACCTTTCTGCGCATAACATAACTTTTATTTTGTGCTTTCACGTTTCACGCACTAAAGACCATAAGGAGCTTGATTGATGCAATCTTTTGCTAGTCTAAAGGTTGATCATTAAAGAGTAAAAAGTTAAAAATATTTTTCTTTATTTTTTAGATTTCTTTTTTAATTTTTTAAAATTATTTTTGCTTAAATACACAAGTTGCATGCTCCAAACACTTAGATACAATCTTTCAAAATAAAATTTAATAAAATTATAAACATTCTCAATAAGTTGCATGAATTGGGCCAACATAATATTTCTATACATATAATGATATCCAAATAGTTTCTTTTTTTTTGGTAAAATGGAACGCATCCAAACAGAATTTCTCTACATAGTTCATATACAAAATAATGTAGCTTTCTATACCCTTTTCATCTCAAACTACATATAATGACATCCAAAAAGAATTTCTCTACATAGTTCATATACAAAATAATGTAACTTTCTATACTCTTTTCGTCTCAAACTAAATCACCCATTATTGTGATTTATAATTTCAAAAATTTCACTGTTATATCATTCTAGTTGAGTTTTGAGTAACTTTACAAACCCAAAATTTAAATTTCTAAATCTATTCACAATGATATGATTTGGGAGTTAATAACCCTAAAAAGTTGAGTATGAGATTTTAAAAACCGACACCTATCATAACACATCAGTCAAACTGTGGTAGATTTTTTAGGGATTTCAAACATTTTTCTTGAGTTTTTTACATACATTTTTTCACGCAGATGCAAAGGTACAATTGCAGTGTGGAGCTGGAAACACAGTCTCAAGTGCAACAACCAACAATTCTGGAATTTTTTCAATGGTGTTGGACCCTCTTCAGTTTGTTCTTTCTTCACTTCTGAGCAACTGTAACTTGCTAGTCAGCATCCCACTCAGCAACTGCAACCTCAACCTCCCCTCTGTTGGCGGGCTTCTGTTGCCACTGCAGTTCATTGGAAACACCCTTCAAGGCCTCCTCAACATCTCCAACATTATTCCCTCTGGATTTCAATTCCTTCCTAACCTAAACTAGTACTCAAACTCTATGAGTAACATATATATAATGTTTACTGAATAAGTTTAAGAACATAGAAATCAGTCATAAAACATAGAAGGACGAAAACTTTCAGAAGTGGATCCCCTAACAAATTCTGTAAAATTTTATCCATTTATATGTATTCTATGTTTTCCTATGTTTGATTTATGTATTTGTAGTAGAAGGGTTATATATTATTAATAAGGTTGATTAGATTACTAATGGCTTTTTTTTCTTTTTTTCTTTTTCTTTTTTTTCTGTCTCCTCTAGTATTTTTCTTCTTTGAAGCCTTATTGTCAATGTTAGGTACTTAGAAAATTTACTAAGAAAAAAAATCAAAAAATTAGGATGGTTGAAATTCAATTTAAGTGTGAATCTCTGGTGCCTCTATTTACACACCATATTTGGTCTCAAGACACACCATTAATTAACTATTTTTTATTACAATAATGACCATACTTAAAATGACCAAAATGACCACAATTGAATGCACTGCAACAAATTCAGCTTCATTCTAACCTATTCCACAAATAAGGATGAAATTTTTGTGACGTGTGCAACAAAGAAATAAATCAAAAGTGCTGGTTCTATCACCACAGTACTGAGTCTGATGACAACAACAACGACCACGACAACAGTGATTCCCTTAATTGGAAATGCCTTTTATTAGTTGCAGCATTGGGTATGGAGAAAAAAGTCAGGGTTGGATGCCACCCACACGACCTCACTGTTGTTGACTTCCCCAAGCATGATTCCTCATGCAACCTTTGCGGTGAACATATCTTTCAATTTATTAAATGTGCACTTTGTGATTTTAGTTCATTCCAAAGTTGTGTGGTATGGACGCAGCTAGACCCAGTCGATATTGGCAATTCTTCATAAAATGGCCCAAAATTGCTGCTACAAGACGTTATTGTACCACTTGATGGCAACACAACATATGATGTTGTGTATCACATTCATTTTGTTAAGGATTTAACTAATGAAGTTAATTTTTTAGATGAAATGGTAGTTAAAATTGCATATAGTTCAGAGTAGGCAATCAATCATCTATTCAAACCTCATTCATACTGTAAGATGCAGATAACACACTACAGGAAAAAGGAGTTTAGACGGCGTTTTTTTAACGACGTATTTTTAAACGTCACTATTTTTAATATTTAACGACGTTTTATAAAACGTCGCATATTTATTTAATAAAACGACACCGTTTTATAATAAGAGGCGTTTAAAAACGCCTCCAAATGCGTTGTGCCTCATGCGCTGGGTCTCCCCTTCTTATCCAACCCTGATTTTGAATCTGAGATTCGCCTAAGACCCAAATCGAGAGCTCTCTCTGTCTCTCTCTCTCTGAGAGCAATTTCGAAGCTCCACCACTTGTTCATTCTCAGGTCGAGGAAGCGAGCACCAACGAAGGTGAGCTTTACTGTCTCTCTCTCTCTCTCTAAATATCTATCTCTCTCTCTAAACATGCTGTTGGGTTGGATTATTTAGTACGATATGTTTTATTACTGCTAACGGTTTTCTATACATGCTGAAATATTGATTTCCTTGCAGTTCTCTAGATTAGTGGGATGGAGCAAACCAACTTCTTATTTCAACAAGATTCATAGGTACTATGATTCTGCTTTTATGTTGTGATGGAAGTTCAAGATCTTGTAATGATTTTTTGCCAAAATAGTCATTTGAATCCCTAAATTTCTTTTGCATGGTGTCTGTGTCCTATTGATTTTGTTTGAGAAGCTGAGTCCTATTGATTTTGTATTCTACAATTCTAACATTTTGTGCGTAATGCAGCTTGTCCCTGGTGGTTCTCCTGATCCAAAATGTGTGGTGGTATGCAAGATTGCTTTTGTTAGCGCCGTCAGATTGGCAGATCTAAAGAAGAATGCTGATGGACAAGAAAGTCTGGTGTTTGCTACTTTAGCTGGTGACCTGGTAGTCCGAGGACTAATATACTATCAGTTGTTATGACATTTTTTAATTTTTTTTATGTTAGGTACTTAGAAAATTTACTAAGAAAAAAAATCAAAAAATTAGGATGGTTGAAATTCAATTTAAGTGTGAATCTCTGGTGCCTCTATTTACACACCATATTTGGTCTCAAGACACACCATTAATTAACTATTTTTTATTACAATAATGACCATACTTAAAATGACCAAAATGACCACAATTGAATGCACACCTTAGTTGAATACACATCCAAACCCAAACCCAAATCCTAGCCACCACTGTTGGGAAGAACAGAGCAAATGTTATGAAGATTGACCCATATTAAAAAAACATTCACAACTATATATTTGAAACACAAAATTTAACCTTTTAGTTTTTTTTTGTGTATGGAATGATCTAAATTTCAAACTTGGCAATACAATCAAAGACCCAATTCGAATCATGTGTGATTATACAACTTATATATATATATAGTACTTCGAATATAAATCTGTTGAGAAAGAAATGAACAGATAGGAAGAACAGAGCAAACAATGGAAGAACTGTGAAATCTTCATATTCTGGGTATGATTCTTGTTACCAATCAATGGATTGGATGAATTGAGACAGACCCATTAGAGTTTTTTGAGTAACCAAACAAATCTGTGTAGAAAAATCAAAGCTTGTGGATTGAATATGGAAGCAGAGACATCTATTTTCTCTCACTCTCTCTCTCTCACTCTCTCTCTCTAGTTTCTCTCTCTAGCTTCAGGCTAGTGGTCAATGAGAAAGAGAGTCTTCGTGGGCTTAGAGGGGGAGGGCTGGGGCAAAAATTATGTCTAACGATTAGGTTTTATTTTATTTTATTTATTTATTTATTTTTTTGAATTTGAGGTGTATACTAAGCGATGTGAGACTAAGGGCAAAAATGGAACGTTGTGATGTGTGTTGAGAAAAATTATGTTTTTTCAAATTATTTAAGGTGTGAACTGAGTAGTGATGTGCCTTGAGATCAAATGTAAATAAAGGCATCTGTGAATCTCATTATACATAATTGAATTCAAGTCACACATTAATGTTCTGAATAAATTTGTGGATATATTTTTTTGGTTTTCTATCTTTTTTGAATTGTCAATGGCCTTTGCAAGGGTAGGTATATTGCCATGTAATTAAACAAAATGTTGAAATCTTGTTTGCTATGTATTTTAATTTGCAATCCATGTTGTCAATGCCTCCAAGCTTTTGCCTTTCAGAAGTGTGGTAACTACAGTAACTACATGATCATCTGATTAAAGGATCATAACTAACCAAATAAAAATGACAAAGTTCTATTAACAGTCCATGAGAATAGCATAACAATTTATTTATTTTATTTACTTATTTATTTATTTTTAATTTACTTATTATTTATTTACTTTTAACAATCGGTAAGGAGAATAAGTGAAGTGGAAGTTCCATACCTAACAATAAGATTCGAACCCAAACATCAGAAGATTTGAAATTTCAATTTTATTGGAAGAAATCATACTTAATTTACTGTTTTTTTTATTTATTTATAAATAATTGGTGGAATATTAGAACAAAATCAAAGAATCTATTTCTGCAAAGAGCAATGATACATCTCTAATTTTGGAGCTCTAATTGAGCTCTAATGATGTGACAGAGAATAAAATAAAAAAAAAAATACTTGAAACCCTCATTTTTTGAAGACCTCCACAATCTCTTTTGGATCTCCATCATTGATATATGTATGAGACCCTATCCATCATTGATATATGTATGGGACCAACTCATGTATGTGTGGGGCCCACACCATCAATGGTGGAGATCCAAAGGGGGTTGTGGGAGTCTCTAAAAAATGAGAGTCTCAATCATTATTGTAAAATAAAATAAAATTAAGATTAAAACATCACATCACATCACAATTAAATCCATTCCCATTAAAACTCCTTTACTAGAGCTCACAATTATTTTTCTTCTACGAATCACTTTCTTCCTATCCCCAAAACGTTTATAATCATTAAATATGTCACGTGATTCTTACATTTTAAAGTTTTCTTATTATTTGATGATTATAAATGTTTTGAGATAAATGAATGCATCTAGCAATAGATGTATAAGTTTTCTTTCATATTTCATCTCTCCATACTTTTTTATATTGTTGTTGTAGGTTTCAATTTAGATCTATATTGATAATTCAAATTATCTATCTCGTAGTCTCTACAATAAAGGTTATCCATGAAAAAAAATAAATTAATCAGATAATTATAAACACAAAAATTAATAAACACAAAAATTAATCGTATTTTATTTTATAAAATGAACGGTAATTATAATTAAATTTAAACTATCGATTTTATAAAATAAAGTATGTGAATGTGACCAACACTTGCCAAGGTTTAATAGGCAAAATTGTAAAATCACTCACCCACCCAAGTTGACCATCAAATTATTTATATAAAAAATAACGAAAATTACATAAAAAAAAAATTACATCTCGTCCATCACTTCGTCAATAAGCATCTCGGCTCAGAGTCTCGCCAAGAGGCAGCCCCATATCCTCCTTTTCTTCTGCACCTTCACGGGCTCCGCTGGTCCGGTCACTGTGTTGTTTTCCATAGGTCCCTCAGAGAGAAATGATATAGAGAGAGACACAGAGAGAGAGAGAGGGAGAGAATTGGGGATGACGGGATGGCGTTTTTATACCTACTGATTTGATAGCAATAAAATCTTCAATTACACAGCTAACCTAATTAATTAAAATTACTGTGTTTGGTTGTGATGTTTTAACACGTTATACAGCTTATTTGGTAATTCTGAAAAATCAATCCCGTTTTTAAAATTTTTTTTCCAGATTTGATTCTAAGAGCCTAGGCATTAATACACTGTGCCTAGGCATTAGATGCTAATGTTTTGGACTATTTTTTCTCTATTTAAATCATAAATTTAAATTAAAAAAATAACCAAAAAAAAAAAATTATTCTTTACTTATATTGTGCTTACATATTATTTTTCTTTTTAAATCTCTGCTTAAATAAATTCATATTAAATAAATGACTTTTCTTCCATCAATTTGAATTGGACAGAACAATTCAACCAAACAGATTACATTTTTTTTAGGTAAATTATACTCACCTCCTCTTAAATTTTAGAAAAGATACAATAAATTACATAATTTGGATATAATTA